TATATTATGTGGTTTAAGTGTTTTTTCAATTCCTTACTGAATATATAAAGGTGAAGGCATGGGCGATTGGAGAACTAGGATCATTAAACAAATTTTTTACTGTCAAAGAACAAAATACAAATAAGGTGTTAAAGAACTCTTGTCTAGCATTGAACGTGAACTTGTACTTTTAATATATCTTAATTTGTTACATTATAATGTTCTAGTGCAAATTGAAAGGTTATATGTTTAGTGATCCATGGCAAAATAAGCATTCCATATAATTTATAATAAACTTGGATCTATATATCAACAGTTGTTTAGCACAACCGTTGTTCAATATGTTGTATTAAAGGATATCACAATGGTTGTATAAAGTAATCATTGTAGTAGGTAGAGTGCTATGTATATACAATCATGGTCGCACGTCCGTGGTGGAAAGCATCATACATACAATTACACCTTACCTCACAACAGTTGGACCAGCTTGGCGGTTTCCCATTTCCAACCGTTATGATAAGTGTTTTATGTAGTAGTGCATGTTGATTGTTGGAACACACTTTCCCATGCTTAATCATTTTAATTGAAACAACTTTGAGAGTTGTCTGTCCCATAATAAAACCTTCACTTCTCAGTCCAACAAACGGGAAAACCCCAGTCAAGTCTACACATGCATATTTCCCTCATACACACAATTAAAGTAGAACATCTACTAATCAAAGTAGCGATATACCCTCTTGTGGATCAACTAATAAATTTACAGGCACCACTTTCTTTTTAGATACCTCGACATGCCAAAATATTTAAAATAAAACATATTTAACAAAGTCATTTCGGTATTTGAATCCTGAAAGCTTCTTACATTGAATGGCGTTTTCCCAAATGAATCATAAGAAGATATTTCAAGATAATACGATACTTTACTAGAAGCATGTGTTGGTCTAGACCATAAATAGGGATAGCAATGATAAAATCTAAAACATGTGTTATTTGCAAACAACCAAAAAAAATTTCTATCTTGAGGTCATGTCAAATTTTATATCCATATCCTAAACACTTATTAAAAAAATACTCACCAAAACATGTTCTGCTTAAGGAGGAACGATGCCATTTCTAGTAAAGCCGCTAAGGTCAAAATATGGAATCACAACACTAAGATTATCCAAATATCTGTCGAAATCTATTGGAATTACACCAAACCTATGGAGAATATCAAATCAATCTTGATGAACAGGAATAAATCTTTCTGATTGATTACTCCTCTTGTTCTTCACTTGAGTGAATCAACCAACCTTGAATGCAAGATGATTGTGCTGCATAATTGATAATGAAAGAAGAAAATAAAAGATGAATTGAGGAAGAAATGAAATAAGGATTTTGAGAGAAAAGGGGAAGAAGAAGAATTGTGAATTATGTAGAGAAACTTATTCTCTTTACTTTGAAATCTGCAATGTTATTCACTTTTTGTATATTATAATGATAGGGTACCTCCCTATTTATAGGCTGAGATTTCTTGCTCACTAAGCAATCTCCAACTAACCTAATCAACTCATCTAAAACAAATAAATAAAGCTAAGTCTAAAATATATGTCGAAGACACACTTCTTCGACATTTCGACATCTACACAGTTTCGACACACATACCATTTTGACGCAAAGAATTAAATTCTCACACACCATATAGTTCATTATGCCTAAGCTCTATACGTTCATCATAGATCTTAATTTCTTCAACTCTTCGACCTATGCACCTTTTGTCATGATGTCTGCAATATGATTCTTAGTTCTACAGTATTCTAAGTTCAACTTTCCATCTTCCACTTGCTTTCAAAAATAATGGAACCTCATTCAATGTTCTCGCTTTTTCCATGCGCTATCGAATTATTCACCAGATTGATAGCAGACTTGCTCTCGAGCTTCATGGTAACTGCTCTATGATTCTTCGTTGTAATTTATTCGAAAAAATTCACCATTCATGTTACTTGACATACACAGATAGAAGCGATTATGTACTCTGCTTCACACTACGACATTGTCACTACTGATTCTATTCTTGAGCTCCAAGCAACTGGTGCACCACTTAGCATAAACATCTATGGATTTTATATCCCCAACATCACTACACCAACTTGAGTCAGTGTAACACACTAATTTGAATTCTTTTCCTTCATCAACTGTAAGAAAAAATTCCATAGTCAAGAGTTTCTTTCAGATACCTTAGTATCCTCTTTGTCGCTACTAGATGCGATACATTTGACTTTTGCATGAGTCTACTCAACATACCTACAATGTATGTTGGACCAGGTCTTGTGTACCAAAGGTATCTTAACAACCCAATGAGTCTTATGTATTGTGTTGGGTCGGTATCATTTTCATCTGAGTTTTTCGACAGTTGTAGTCTTGGTTCAGCATGTGTTGAAGTCGAATTATAGTCTTCCATCTCAAATCTCTTGAGAATTTTGCTTGCATATCTTCTTTGATGCATCATCAAGCCTCTACTACTTTTGTAGAATTTGATGCCAAAGCAGTATGAAATGTCACCCAGATCAGACATTTCAAATTCCTTGCTAAGATCACCTTTGAAGTCTTCAATCTCTTTCTTGCAACTACCTATTATCAACAAGTCATCGACATAGAGATATAGTATAAATAATTCACTATTGCTTCTTATTACGTATACTTCATGCTTAGTTGTTCACTTCACAAATTACTCTTCCCTAATAAAATCATCTATATTCTTATTCCAAGCACTTAGAGCTTGCTTAAGTCCATACAGGGCTTTATGCAACTTGTATACTTTGCTTTCTTCACCTTATTTCACAAACCCAACTAGTTGTGCAACATAAACTTCTTCATCTAAGGGGTCATTCAGAAATGCACATTTCACATCCATTTGACACATATGCTAGTTGTTCATGTTTTCTAGACAAATAACCAACCTGATTGTTTCGATTCTAGCAACAGGTGCAAAAACTTTGCCGAAGTCGATTGCTTCTTTCTAAAGAAACCCTTTCGCCACAAATCTTGCCTTGTGTCGAGTTACTTCTCCTTTGGGATTTAACTTCACATTATATACCCACTTCACATCGATTTCCTTCTTGTCTTGAGACAATTCGACAAGTGACTAAGTATTGTTGACTTCGATGGACTCTAGTCCCTCATTTATCATTTTCATCCATTTCGAATCCTTTAATGCATCAGCTGCATTGATTGGTCCGACATATGCATAGAAAGCATAGTGTACCAACTCGCCTTCATTATTGACCACATCATCTGATGTAATTACACATTATTGTAACCTTCCAGGCATGTATCTTGTTCTTTGAAGCATACTTGTGCTTGTTTGACCTCTGACTTCTTCTTGTCGAACTTCTCTTTGGACTTCACTTGCTAGTTATTCACATATGATTCTCACTGAATCCTTCTTGACATTTTCAGTCCAATCTCATTCCTTAAGCTCGTCTATAATCACGTCCCTATTGATCACTACCTGCTTGTTAATTGGGTCAAACAACTTGTATCCTTTAGTCAAATGATATCATATTAGAATCACTTGACTCGACTTATCATCAAGTTTTCTTCTCAACTCATCAGGCACATGTCTATGTGTTATTGATCCAAATACCTTTAGAGGACTTAAGTTAGGCTTTACACTAGACCAATATTCTTCTGGCGTGATTCCATCTATCTTCTTTGTCAGACATATGTTCAGATGTATGTTGCAGTCGACACAACTTCTCCCCATAATTCTTTGAGTAAATGCTTGTTTTCAACATACTTTTAACCATGTTCATGATGGTTCTATTCTTCCTTTATGCAATTCCATTCTGCTATGGAGTGTAGGGTAGCACCATCTCATGCATAATCCCTTATTTCTCACATAATGTGTCGAAGTCTTTCGACACATATTCCCCACCATCATCATTCCTATGAATCTTGAGCTTTCGACTACTTTGTCTTTCGACCATAGATTTAAACTTAGAAAATACCTCAATCACTTCACATTTCTTCTTGATTAGGTAAGTCCATAGTTTTCAACTAGAATCATCTATAAATGTGATAAAGTATCTGTTACCTCGAATCAAATCCACTTGGATAGGACCACACACATCAGAGTATATAACTTTAAGAATTTCCTTCGACTTGCTTTCTGCATCTTTGCTGAAGTTATTCTTATGTTGCTTTGCCTGCACATATTCCTTAAATACTTCATTTGGAATGTCAATTTCTGGTACTTTTCAGATCTCTGATGTCTTTGAAATTAAGATGACCAAGTCTATATGCCATATCCATTCATCCATTCTAGCTACAGTTGTAAGACATTTGTGCTCCATCACATTAAGTTCAATCTTAAAGGTTCTATTATGTGACATAGGAGCCTTCAAGATTAACCTTCCAGTTGATTCGAGAACTCTCATCATCTTTTCTTTAATCAAAACTTTGTAATTTTTTTCGAGCAAATTCCGTATGCTTAGCAAATTACTCTTCATGTCTGGTATGTATAATACATTGAAATTTTTTTGACCTTTTTCCATCTTTCCTCGTAACCAAAACATCACCAACATCTTCAACTTCTAGGGTATTGACCTTTTTCCATCTTTCCTCAATATTCAAACTTTAAAGGGTAAAAAAATCACCACAATTTTAATATGTATTATAATTTTATTTTAAAAAACAATTATTTTAAGACATAAAAAAATACAAATAAAACACATTCTATAAAACAAAAAGAGTATCCCATTCTACCAATTGATTTTTCTCTAATTAATAATAAAAATATTATTAATTAAATAATACTAATAAATGTTATTTTAAATTTTACAAAAGAGACCATTGGTAAAAAGACAAGAGGGAGTACTTTCTTCCTACAAAATACTAGTAGCTTGAAGTGAGAAACAACAGCCGTAGATTCATCCATTAAAAAGATCAACGGTGACAAACAATTCTCCATTCCTCACACTTTTCCTATTAAAACCACAATCAAACCAAACCACTCTTTCATCTCCTAAGCATCAAACAAAATGGAAAAACAAAACAAACCCAATTCACAACAATGGAGACCCGACCCATTTCACTCCAACAACAACAACACCATCATGAAACAACCCGAAACACCTCGTGACCCAATGGAATTCCTGTCTCGTTCATGGAGTGCTTCCGCCATGGAAGTCTCCAAAGCTCTCTCACCAGCTCAACTCCCTCCCTCAAACAAACTCTCAAACGGTTCTTCAAATGCTGCTATACTAGAAGATTTTGCCGGCGAAATTGATGAGTCTAATGTTACTTTTTCTGGCAACCCTTTTTCTTTTGCTTCCTCAGAAACCTCTCAAATGGTTTTAGATCGCATCATGTCACACTCAGTATGTAGTAGTAACATAGTACTATCAAATTCTTTTGTTCTTGTCTTTCACTGTTTGACATTGTTTAACATTGTTTCTTTGTTTTTTGAAATTGTTCAGCAAGAGGTATCTCCAAGAACCTCAGGAAGATTATCACATAGCAGTGGACCTTTGAATGGATCTCTAACAGATAGCCCACCAGTTTCACCTTCTGAAATGGATGATTTCAAGGTAATTAATTTCATAGGTGGCTTCAATTTGACATTAAAAATCTTAACAGACAAGTTTGTTTGGTTTTTTGTTTTTCACAAAACTTTATTACGGGTACAAAACACGAACACTGATCTTCACTATACAGAGTTTCAGCTTTCACTGTTACCAACAAACCAAAATTGGATGACACCCGGAGACAGTAATCAGTAGTAATCTGCTTTTGTTTTTTCCTTTCTTCGATGCAAACAACCAAACATAACTTCAATTTTTTAAAAAAAATTGTTTTTTGTTTTTTATAACTTTTGTTTTTTTTTGCACAGTTTTTGTTTTTTTCTACCACCTATTAGTACTAAATTAAAGCTTCATTAAAGAACTTTACCTTAAGAAAATACACCTATAGTACAAAAACACCCACAAGTTTAAATTACAAAAAATTATTGTTATTTTTTTTTATAAATTTTAAAATTTATGATGGGCCATTATATTAATTCTTCTATGCAGTATAACCGTTCGAGCAACAACCACAACAATAATAGCATCATTGCCAGCTTGAATAATCAATACAGAGTTTCCGGCACCGGCGGCGGTGGAGGTGGCGGCGGAAAGACGGTGGGGAGGTGGTTGAAGGAGAGGAAGGAGAAGAAAAAGGAAGAAACTAGGGCCCACAATGCTCAACTTCATGCGGCGGTTTCGGTTGCTGGTGTTGCAGCGGCTGTTGCTGCCATCGCTGCCGCAACGGCTGCCTCGTCGGGAGCAAGGAAAGACGAACACATGGCGAAGACAGACATGGCGGTTGCGTCGGCTGCGACGCTTGTGGCGGCTCAGTGTGTTGAAGCTGCCGAGGCTATGGGGGCTGAACGCGATCATCTTGCCTCGGTGGTTAGCTCCGCCGTGAACGTGAGGTCTGCCGGTGATATCATGACGTTGACGGCTGCTGCGGCAACGGGTATGCGGCGCATTACTTTTTTTCCTTTTTATATTTATTTATTTACTTTTGACATGCAAATAACTCATAAACTGGATTTATGTGTAACTTTTCATATGTTAATGTCTAATGATTTTTGTTTTTCAATTTTTAGTATGATAAAATTAATGATATTCTAAAAATGAGTCAATTTTCTTCTTTTATTTATGTTGTTATTATATTTTAATATTTTTTTTCAAATTTTTATTAGCAAACTATATGAATAATTTATTAGTGAAAAAAATCTGCCTGATTTTATTTATTTATTTATAGATTGGTGTTTGATCTTTACTAAAGGTTATGATTTTTTTAACTAACAAAAAAATTTATGATAAAACATTGAAATGCTGGTTAATTTTGTATTTTGGTGAAAGGTTAAATTAATTCATAAAAAAGAGCTTATATAGGTTTTAAATAATAGTCGCAGTCGTATTGTGGTCGCGTAAAAGCTTTCACAATTTCGGTTTATATAGATGTCGGTTGTCGGTTGTGACACTGATAGATGTGAATTAACCATAATTTGATCTTTATCATAAAAATATTGAATAATGGTATTGGTATCGGCCTTCCATGCCGTTTTGTCGCGGCCGGGGTCACTGACTGTTTTTTAAAACCTTAACATGTTGAATTTATGATTCTTTAATGTTATCATTTGGCAGTTATGATAGGAAATTTGAATGTTGGTTAAATAATTCATGTAACTGACTCAACTAAAAAAAGCAAAAATAAATTGTGGTTGTTTTGTTTATAGTTGTTGATTAATTTAGGGTGTTTGTGGATTGAATCTGTATAGCTTTGCGTGGGGCTGCAACATTGAAAGCAAGGGCCCTTAAAGAAGTTTGGAATATCGCAGCTGTAATTCCTGTCGAAAAGAATTTGTTAGGTAATGGAAATGGAAATGTTAATGGCGGTGGGGGCAGTGGCAGTAATGGCAGCTCCAATAGTAGCTTCAGCGGTGAACTTGCACCTGAAGATAACTTCTTAGGCATTTGCAGTAGAGAGTTGCTAGCCAGAGGTTGCGAGCTTCTCAAACGCACACGCACAGGTATCATCAACACTTCACATATCAAAAACATGTTTGGTGTCTGACACGTGGTGTCTGTATATCATGTGTATCAGTGTCATGTCTGGTATTTGGTTCTAGTGTTTTATTGATGTTCTATGGTTATTTATGTTTTTTTTATGATTAAAGGTTGGAAAGTGATTTGATTTAATAATTGTTTGCAGGTGAACTCCATTGGAAAATTGTGTCAGTTTATATAAACAGAACAAACCAGGTATATATTAATGTATTTTTCTTTTCATTTGAATTATGAAATCTAATGCAACTTTGGATCTTGACTATGACCAATTATTTGGCCATCAATTATAAGAATTTCAATGATGAGTTTGAATCTGATAGTGGAAAGAAGTGACTAAAGTGATGGCTCTTAGTACGATGAGATGATGTTAAGAGATCAACTAGTTTGGTTTCCTAGAAATATGCAAAATGTATTCACTCTTTAGAACCTCTTTTTGTTTCAGGTTATGCTCAAGATGAAGAGTAGACATGTTGCTGGGACCATCACAAAAAAGAAAAAGAGTGAGTTTTCATTAACTTTTGTCTTTGTCTCTTTAACTGATTTGGAGGTGGGTCTTGTTTCATATAGGGATTTGTGAAAGTTGTTCTCTTTATTCTTTAAAGTTTGAATTAAATCAAAAGGATTCTTCTTTAATCAAATCCACCTTCACACTCATTCTTTCTTCAGGGTTAGATCCATTGCGTGCAGGTTTAACCTGACTTGCCATTTTTGAAATTTTGTAGATGTTGTACTCGGAGTTATCAAAGATATGCCAGCTTGGTCGGGGCGTCATTTGCTAGAAGGAGGCGAGAATCGTCGATACTTTGGTTTGAAAACGATAATGCGCGGAATTGTCGAGTTTGAGTGCCGAAATCAAAGAGAATATGATGTGTGGACACAAGGTGTTTCAAGGCTTCTATCAATATCTGCTGAAAGGAACAACAAAAACAGAACATGTTAATTAACTATGAACATGTTATAGGTCTTTTGGTATATGGTGGGGTTTTGATCCATTTGTAAAAAGGGTAAATTTTTAAGTTTTAGTTATTTATTTATTATGCTATAAGATAGGGGTGAGTCTCTTTAATCTTGGGGACTTAAATTAGTTTTTTTTTTAATGGGAAAGTAATGTGAACTAAAGTGAAAAATGTGAAGCTTAGTTGTTATTTTATGCTTTCATTGATATGGAAAGAAAAAGAGTATCTTGGACTTGGCAGTCAAAAGGAAAAAGAGAAAGAGTCACATTTTAGTGTTAGTGTGTGTGATGTAAAAGAAAAAGACAAGCTGAATTTTTTGTGCTTTTGTTTATTAGTAATATGGTTTTTTTTATTGGATCCCAAGGAATTGTCTAATTTTTAAGGTTTATGATCTATACCAAATCATTGTTATGGATTCTTTCACTTTTGCTTTTGGGTAAGGCTTTTGATGAAAAATAGTAATAATACAGTGAGTTTTTTCAGAGTATTTGTAAGAAATGTAAAGCAGTTTTATGTTAGTTAACTCTCATAAATTACTTTTTTTCTTCTTTTACTGATGTAACAATGCTTTTTCTATAATAAGAAAATCATTTTAACTCATCCATCAATCAAAACATGGAATACATTTTCAATGCCCTCAATGAAATGGTATAAGAAACCACCTCAAACCATGTCTGGTTTTTGTTTCAACAGAGACACATATGATAAAACAAGAGATATTTGGTTGTTATAAGGTTTCTATCAATTGCAACCAAGAGTTGTCCTTCATATTTAACACTCATCTACCTCTACCATAAACCTTCAATTCAAATGTCTTTAAATGTTTTTTTGTTGTTATCCAAATATATGTAGTGCCTATTTATAGTTTTTAAAAAATATATAAATAAAGTTCAAGCAACACACTCTTAATTATATAAAGTTCATGTGTTCCAATAAAATTATATGTCACCATCATAATTTAGTTAGACATTTATTATACTTAAAATTTGAGGATTAAAAAAAGAAGATGCAAAGATAATTTTGAAAATAACAAGTCAGCTTCAAAACAATAACAAGATAGTTTTAAAAGAGACAAAGTTAGGTTGAAGTATTAATACATTAGTAAAAAAGAATTAGGTAGTTAAAAGATAACTTTTGTTTAAGCAAAGTCATTGTATAAGATATTTAAATAATTGAACATGTTTTATTTTATTTTTTACTTTTTTAAAATTGATTTATAAAATAATTTTTAAAAACTAAAAACTAAAACTTATTTAAACAAATATTTATTCTCTTGTTTAAAAATGTCATCGATTTTGTTAAAGTGCTATCAACATTTATGTAAATGCTAAATTGATCCTTTAACAAAAATATGTGTATCATACACGTTGGAGTTGAATTTGACCTTGATTTTTTAAGTATTAATATATAATCTTCTTATTTTAATTTATGTAGTGGAGCGTTAGTATATTAAGAGTGAGATCAACTTATTTTAAAAATTTTTTTTTTTACTTATTTTACTTTATAGTCTTTAAATTAAATTTAATTTAGTGATTAAATTTAATTTAAAAGTTATGATTGTGGAGTAAGTTATTCTTGGAGTAAATGGATCATATAAATTATTTAATTAATTTTAGTACAAGAATTTCATTTAAATAGGGTTTTAAAATATGTTATAATTATTTTTATACTTGAAAAAATTAATTTTATGAATTGATTGTTTTTAAATGAATTAATTGTTTTTGTCTTTTAGTGGCTAAAAATAGAATTTTAATAAATTAATTAAAATGTAAGGAAGATTGTAAATTAATTTGAAAAAGTAAAAGAGGTTTTTGTTTAATAAGAAAACTCTACATAATATGTAAAAAATGCATGAATATTGGGTAGTAACTTACTAACTTACAAGTCCTGGTGAAAATTTGAGAGCATTTTGCACAAAAATACATCACTTCATCTGGCTAATTTGTTTTTGTCACCGACACAAGCAGTATCCCATCAATTTGTATCGTTAACAACAACATTGGCCCTGCCAAATACAACAAAATCTGTCTCTTATGTCAGCATATACCAAATCAAAATAACTAGTATATTAATAAAAATAATTCATGATTAATAAATTAAATTAAAATTGTTGAGAAAATCAAATTAAAAATATAAAGAGTGAAGAAAGTAGGATGATATTTAATATTTTTAAAAAATAGTGTATTTTTATATGAATTAAATGAGAGTACTTATATTATTAGAATTAGTGGGATATCCTTGCGTCGCACGGGTATTAATGTGATATATATAATTGATACGAAAAGAAAAAAATGGAGGAAAAAAAGTTGAAATAAAGATTAGAAAAAAAAAACAATTGAAAAAGTGTGGTATAGAAAAAATTGAGTGAAATAGAAAAGATGGTAAAAAATTAAAATAAGTTGGTTATAATGTTTACTGTGAATTTTGGTAAACAACCGCTGGTCTATCAATTTAGGGTAAAATTGACTAACTTGCAGGATCGACCATACTAAATCCTAGAACATGTGTTAAGCGTGCAAAAGACTCTAAGTTGAACTCCGCGTTCGATTGTGAAACCTTTTGAAAAGTAAGATGACTTTAAAGATTTAAAAGAAAACAAATAATGCGTCGAAGATTAAAAGCAAAAAGTGCAGTAATGTAAAAGCTTTTAAAAATAAATGTTGTAAAGTAAAGGGGGAGAGATTACAATCAAACTCCGCGTTCGACTATAACGTCTTTGTAAAGTAAATGATATTGAAGATAAATGTGCAAGAAAGTAAAGTGCTTTGAAAATAAATGTGCGAAAGATTCTACTCTGAACTCCATGTTCGACTAGAGATCTTTGGAAGTTAAATTGCAAGAAAGTAAATAGCTTTGGAAATAAATGTGCGAAAGATTCTACTATGCTCCACTCGACTAGAGACCTTTGGAAGTTAAATTGCAAAAAGGTAAATAGCTTTAGAAATAAATGGGCGAAAGGTTAAAAGTGCAGAAAAGTTTAAATGACATAAAATAACTCTAATCTGAACTCCACGTTCGACTAGGGGATCTTTGAAAGTAAAACGCAGAAAAAGCTTGTGAAATGGTTTAAATGTAAAAGCTGAAAGTTAAAGTGCAGAATGAGTAAAGGTGCATAAAGGGTAAAGGCAAGTAAATTGCATTAATGAAAAAGGGTTGGTGTTGTATCACATACATTCTCGCTAACTCGTTTCTATACACGCGGGTACTTTGAGTTGTTTGGAGTGACTAGTATAAAATGAATGAACACCCTTATTACATAAAAATGACAACTATTTATAGTACTAGAAAATAACTACTAAATGACGGTTGAGGCTTCACAATGTGTCCCTTTTGGCGCTTTTTCCACTATCTCAGTCGTTCCCACGTTCGTCCACTTTTGGTTTGAATTTTGAACACTTAATATCTCCCTCCAATTTTGGTTGTGACTTCTGCGCGTTCTTCTCAGCGTGACCCTTGTCGAGCACTTCTCAGCACTTAGCAAATTTTAGTAGCTTTGTCCACCTCTCTTCGACTTGGATTGTTCTCTAATTATGTCGAAAGGTTGACATGTTTCAAATTGATATTTTGACTTGAGGTGATTCTAAAATCAACTAGCGTCGAAAATTGAGAGCTAACAAATTGCCCCCAAATAATGTCCTTTCGCCAGTTTTGGTAGGAAGGTCATTTTTTCCTTCACCGTTTTGACGCATTTTGCATGGCTTTGACTGAACCACCCACTACTTGTTTTAATGGTTAACTGTTCATTTCTTTTCCTTCCACGCTTATGACGTCATGCCATTATGATAAATTTTTAAACGTCTTTTCAACCGTTTCTATCATTACTTTGTCTTGAAAACGTACATTTTACAATCAAACCATAACTGTCCATACGCATCTTCTCTTCAAAAACAAACACACGTCCCACTATCCGATTGTCTTCAACGGTGGATTTAAGTCCTTTGGGATTTCTAAACACTTATAAATATCTCCCTTCACCACTTTGTGAATTTTTTACACTCTCTAGAATCTCAAGCATCCCATATCCTTCTTCAGCTTTCTTCATCCAATCTCAGAGAAAAAAACCATTCCACTTCTTTTAACAACAATGGCATCTTCTCAATCTACCGTTCAAGAGAAGAAAACCCAGAAGGGACGCGTTACTTAAACCAAGAAATCTATTCCTTCTTTCACGAACATAGTTGGCCCTCAACTGGTAGAGAATCGTCAATGTGTGTCGGAACCCACTTCTGAAGCTGCAAGGAGCATCTACCACTCTCAGGTAATGATTCCTTTAATTATTTCGGGTAAACCATACGCGTTATCTGGTCCTTTGGCACATATTGATGTTTCTGACGCAAGGCTGAATGAGTTTTTGCCGTCTTACCGGAGAACCAGGCTGTTAGGGAAAAAAAGTTTCCCTACACCCCTTACCAATGCTGCTGAAGAGACTTTATTGCCAACTTTCAACCTTGGATATCTTGCTGACGGTACTCGGCTAGTGAGAGCCGTTAGTCCTCTTAAAGACTTTGACCTTTGGATGGCAAAAATAGAGAAGGTTAAGGCTGATCATTGGAAATCTGCGGGGATTTATGACCTTCTAATGCTGTCGAAGACTAACATTCCTTATTGTCTGAACTTGCTGATGGCATCCTTATACTTTTGGGACAGTACCCACTATACTTTCCACCTGCCATGTGGGATGGTTTCCCCAACCCTCTTCGACATATCCGCTATTACCGGCCTTCGTCCTGATGGAGTCTCCTACCAACCTGACGTTGATGCTGAAGATTATGTACATATCCCCAACTCCAAACTCACTTATACACATTTCCTTAAACACCATTTTGACCATACCACTGACGACGTATCTGATGAGGAGCATGTGGCGTTTCTCGACATATGGCTATCGAGATACGTGTTCTGTACCAAATCTATGCAGGTAGCCAAAAAGTACCTGCCTCTTGCTAACCAGCTCCATCGTAACAAAGGTGTCTACTTTAGCAAA